AGGGGAGAAAAAAAAAAATCATCAAAGTTTGTGCTTGGATCCTGTAGGAGTCAAAAGTGAGGCTTGTACCTATGTGATGGAAGTCAACCAAGTGCTGGGGTGCTTCAAAAGAGACCAAGACAATAAAGGGCAGTTTAAAAATGGATCCGGAAACAGGCAGATAGACAAAAGTCCTCAGCAGACTTACTGTGAGAACTAATCTTTTTGACAGTTTACAAAATGAGGATAGAGCTTCATTTCTATAAGGGAATCTAACTAGCAGTCAGATAAGAGACATGTTTGTATTCTAAAACATGTTCTATTCTATTTGCTTTTTCAAAATAGCAAATAGCAGTTTAGATGCATGTAAAACAGTATTTTATATGCTCTCATGTATCTGCAGGCAATTTTACATATTTGTCCTTCAAGAGTGCCCCTTCTCAGTGCTACACCTTCACAGATGTTTACAGCTGCTTCAACATAGCTGCCTTGTGAAAGCTTCTCATTACAGCTCCTTTTGTAGCTGCCAGAAGCGTCATTGCGCAAAGGAAACTCCCTGGGTTTGAGACCATTACGGCCCATGGCTGCTGTAGTTACTCAGATGTTTGCTAGTTAATTTAAATCCCGTATTTGAGGCTCTTGGGTTGGTATAGCTGATGTGTATGCATCCTGACAACATGCTGTAGTTTTCCTACCCAAGCATACAATATCTAAATACTCTCAGTGCCCTGAGCAGTTACTTTCTCATCACAAGCTGCTCACAACAGTCCGTTACTTGTTTCAAGCTCTGGTGTCACTTGTTTCATACATTCTCTTGGTCTTTCATCTGGCAGTCATCAGTTGTTATGTCCAGTCCTTGGTCTCCCATCGTATCTCCAAAACAACTCCATTAGTTTCGACAGCTCACACATGTCTTAACAGCCCCAACTTATTGACTGTCCCTGTTATGGGATAGAATTGAGCCAGTGGGTGATGATACAGATTTTGGGAAGCTGAATAATTCTGGATCAATAAGGTCTGCTAAATACATATATATGCATGTCTATATTTCTTCCTTTTGTTTATAAATATAGAAAACTGGAATAAATGTAATAGAGGGAGAAAAGGCAATTAGATTCTTTGGCACTCTGAGGTGAAAGTTGATTTAACAACCATTTGAAAGAGAACAGTAATACTGCTTCTGTTCTTGGAAATTGCTGACATAACATATGCTCTAAACCATGTTTAATTACATTAATTTTAGTGATGTTTGAAATGTTTAATTCAGGGATCTAGACAGAAGTTTACAGATGGATTGACTCTAAATTGAGTCAAATTCTGCCAATGATATTTGTCATGTTTAGTCCCCAGTAGCAGAAATTGTTCCCTTGCGATAGGCTGCTGCAGAGGAAGCTGCGTGTCTTCTCCCTGCCCTTCATCCAGCCTGTTAGATGGCTGGGGGATATTGTCATGAGAATAAGCAGCATTTTTTTGAGGGTCACCTCAGAGAAGGGGAAGAGCACGAAGTCTCATTCTATAGCTTTTTGTGTACTGAGGTCAAAAATGATGTGGTGGCTAAGTCATCCAGTAACCCTTTGCCAAGGGGAAATTAGTGTCTTTGTTAGCAGCCTCTGACTGTAGAATACTGAGAATTTTGACGTAAGTGGTACAGGGAAGAAAGCTAACAGCTGAGTTGATGGTCACATAAAACCATATAATTGTTCATGAGCAAGAGTAATATGACAAGCAAAAAATTCTTGAAAACTCAGGAAAGGTTACAGTCAGGGGAAACTAACATTACTTTAAACTGTGGGTATATTTAAATGTTGTGTTCTTGAGTCCTTATGTCTTATATTTGCCATTTCTTCCATTGGTTGCAGGAATAAGTCTGCTTCACAATTTTCCGTTTTTTTGTTGCTTTGCTAGATGGAGAGGAGGAGTGTTTTTAGCGAAAGGAGTAATGCAGCCCAGTACGTTAACTCGGATGATGAGGAAGATGGCTATGATTCTCCAAATGTCAAAAGAAGAGGGGCTTCAGTTGATGATTTCCTGAAAGGGTCAGAACTTGGAAAACAAGTAGGTAGCCTGGTCTTGTTGTTGTGTCAGGTGTCCAGCATGAAACAAGTATTTTATGAAGCTCAGCAGGCTATCCAGGTCACCATCTGATTATTGTAGCCATATTGGTAAACTATACAGACAAGCAGCTATATTGTGGGGAGGTAGATGAATGTCCTGTTACTGGAGCATAACACTGTCTAATGGGAACTGAATGCTTGGCACCATGCATCTATAGATCGTTATCCCATGCAGCCGTCTTAAGCACTGGAAACTGAGAAAAAATTGACATAGAAAATGTGACTGGAATGTCATGTTTGGGCTCTGGGCTTTTTCTGTGTGATATGTGACTACCGTATATGAAAACATGGTCTGAAAAAAGGGAAAGGGGGAAGGATTTTTGTGTTCCTTAAAAGCCATAACCGTGTAATCCTAATTAGCAGAAAACCAACACTGTATATACTTGACATGCTGTAATGAATAAAAAGATGTAGCCAGAAGAATTTTGCATGTTTGCACAGCTTTTAGCCTGATCCCACTGAAAACAAATATAAAGTAATTTATTACATTACTTTCAAGAGAGAGATAAATTCTAGCAGAGATATTTTCTATGTCTTAGCATGGTTGAATAATCTTGTTAGCCAAACATCTGACCTCCCTCTTGAAGTGTCCAAGCAATGTCATTCCTTCTCATACTAGTTCTAAGACTCTCTGGAATTTTGGTTCCATTTATTATAGAAGTTCAAGCATTTATAAATGTATAAACATTCCTCCAGATTTCCACTGTTCTAAATGTGTGGCTTCAGGATTTGATTTGGTTCCATCTTCACATACAGTGGTTCCCATTTTTAGAATACATGCAGTCATGCTGTGCTTACAAAATGTGCTTGTGGATGAGATGCATCTATACCTCTGTATGCAATTAAAATTATTCTGGCCACAAAGAGGCCGAGATTTTCTAACAGGACCAGTAATCTTATTAAAAATGCCTGGTGTAAGAAGTTTAGAGTGTTTGTAAGGGATCAAGATCAACTTCATTTTTCTGGTAACCATACTTCATATTTAACCTTGTTAAATAAACTTGGGGGTGTCTACCATGTGAGTACAAAGTTGCTGCTCCATATGGACTTACTACCTCAGATTATTAAATGGTGGTTTGAAATGTATCTCTTCTTTACCAAGCTCCACAAAATAGAAGGTTTGGATATGAACATTGGAAGGCTGGAAACCCTTAAAGCTATATTCCTTGAAGCCTAAAAAGATTACGCCCTGTTATCTGCTAGAAACATGCTCAAAGCTAGATTTGAAATCTCTCTGGCTGCAAGTATTCTGAGATCTGATTAGGTTTCAAATTTAGTTTTCATGTAAGACTGAAAGAATTCCTCATTGCTCTAAAACACTATGTCAAAAAATGCACTTTGAGAAATAGCAGTTAAATTATGTCTGGCAAAACAGTTGCAGTGTGTTAAGTGTAAATTGATTATCATATGTTTATTTTAGATCTTCGGAGATATACCTATTTGTAGTTGCATTGCTCATTTGCATTGTTTATGAAAGATGATCACTTTTACCACTCGGTTTCTTGATGAAGAAATAATTGGAGAAACCTAACCTGTGGTGGTTTTCTCCATAAGAAATCATTAGTTTGCTAATTTCATTATAATACTCATGTGCTGCTGGTATCTTCCAGAAGCAACTGCTATTCTGTATGCTGATTCCCTGTCAAAGGTCTTTGACTTTCTATCAGTTGACTTGCCTTACTCCATATAAAAGAGTAAAAAGACTGCAGACAAATGCAAGTAACATTAATGGTTTTTGTCAAGCTTTTTATTAGCATTAGATACAGCTACTAATGGAAATCCTTCATGTCTGTCGCATTGTATTTTGTAGGAAGATATATTGATTTTAAACTCTCCAGTTTAAAATGCCCCACAGGAAAGGGTGGCATGGATCACAATTCTGAAACAGTGGTGCAGTATCAGTCTCTCACACACTTTCTTTGTGAACTTAGAATTAGAAAGTTAGTCTTTCTTGCCCAGATCCTCACAAGTATTTAGGCATCTAAGTATCTCGACAACTCTTGAGGATCTGGGTCAGTGGGCCTGTCAACCAAGACTAAAATGGGAATAATAATTCTTTCTTTTATCACAAAAATGTATGAAGATACTGTCTTCTGCAAGCCGTTGATTTGCTCTGTAAATAGATAATAAGGACAAGGAAAGTAAGTATCAGAGATAGACCTGAAATTCAGAGACAACTGGGGACATTTGCAGGAAGGGCAGTGCTAGAAAACACGTGAAATATTAACCACAAGTGCATGGAATATATGGCCATGGAGGTTTCACTGGAAATCTGCATGTGTAAATGCACACACTTGTTGAACATAGAGTATGCATGCCCTATTACATACAGAGCTAATTAACTGGAAGCAGAATTGCATAGTTATTTCTTATATAATATCTCCTAGTTAAGTTTTGTTCCTCAATTAATGTTGTGCTTGAATTAAAAGACTTATTTAAATAATTTAGTGCCTTTTTAGCAAGGTATTCCTGTTATTAGAACCACAGTGGATAAGCCTTGGGGACAGTTTGCTCTGTAGTCTGATTGCCCAAGCAATCAGGGCTTTATTCCAGCAGTATTGGCCTCTGATAATATACAAGGCATTGTGCACTTAGGCAAGTTTTGTAGTACTGTGCCAGTGCAACCACCAAGTCTGTTTGAATACGGCTGAGAACAGGAGTGCAGGAGTCATTTTCTGTGAAAAACAGGACCAAGATTCTGCTGGAATGGAACTGATTAAATAATAAAATTTAGTATGAGCCACAAAGTTTAGATGTGAAAACTGAAGCATTAGAATATAGTCTGATCTTTTAACGTCAAAAAGAAACAAAAAACATTGTGAAACTGCAGTGGCTTTTTTTCTAAGATGGTCCTAATATAATGAATCTGAAGGATCTGACAACATTTATGGGCTTGGCACCAGGAATTACTGCTAAAGGCTTCACCGTGCAATCTTTTTAGCTCCAGAACAAAGAATTAAAAGAGGAAAAATTGTCTCTGGTATTTGGAGGACAAATCCATCTTCACTTTGGAAAAATTTCTTACTGTAGACATTTTCTTCTCATTGCTGGGATTGATTGATATCAGCATGTTACATAGCTATGGGAATCGATCTGGTACCACAGAAGTTACTTCTTCATTAATATTGCTAGGGGAAGGAATGCAGCAATTTATAGCATTCTAGTACTTCTAGAATATTTGATTCTTCAAATATTCTACTGCAATCTGACAGTCAGATGACTCCATTTGGAAATTTGTCCTCAGAAATGCAAGGAGTTTTGTTTATGATCTGATTTGTTAGATGTAATGTTTAACAGAGGCCACTCCTATTTAACATCAGCAATTCAGTAGGACATACTTTTTCCTCCTTAACTTCCAACTAATTGGAAACTTACAGGAACTTGAAATACTTGGACTAGTTTTTAAAGATAGTTTAGCCAGCCTATTCCTACAATGTTTAAGAGAATGAAAGCTTCCAATTCCATCAGCTACCTATATCATACAATGATGGTAACATCCTGCAAGAATTAAATGCTGATCATTTTTAGGTTACAATGTGATGTAACAAACAACTGTGAAGAATGGATGATATGTGAATTATCCTAGGGCTTTTACAATTTGGTCAGCAAGTCCATTGATGCATGAAGGACCTCTTTAAATCAAGGGAATTTAATCAAGACTGAGACTAGATTTGGTGCTCTGAATGCAGACATCCTTTTTTGTATCACCTATGGGAATAAGATTGAATTTCTTGAATTGGGAGCATAAACAGGCAAAAAAAAATTATACATGATCTCTCCACTAGAACAGAGCAGCAAGCTGCATGATGTAATTTATATGTGGTTATTAGTGTGATATTCAAACCTAGGAGAAATGCTCTAGTCCTCACTGATGTTATACAAGGATTTTCAGCTTTACAGTCAGTAAAGATTTTTCTCTCTCACCCTGTCAATTAGCCTCACTATTGCCATGGTGAAGAGTACCATACAGAGAGCAGCAGAGGTTCTGACTTGTCTGATATTATGGAAGAAGATGAGGAAGAGCTGTACTCTGAAATGCAGCTGGAGGATGGAGGAAGGCGACGAGTCAGTGTGACTTCACACAATGCGCTTAAGGTAAGTGTGGCGGCAGAAAAACCTCAGGAGTACCTCCATATTTTGACTCTTCCTTCACAGCATTTCTTTTAGTCAGTTACGGATTTTGCAGACCATTAAAACTCACACTGTTGTATTGACCTAGAACTGGGGTGAACATTGTTTATGATGTCAAGGCCAGTTTAATACATTTATTACTTTTTTTTGCATTATTTGATAGTTAATCTTTTAACTAACTGACTATTTTCCTATATGTAATTGTTGAGGTTGCAATTTCTGTTCTGTATGTGGGGACCTTTCCCATGTCTATACGACAATATACTACATGTGCTACCCAGACAATGAGTTGTTTCTGAGCAAGGAGATTTATGTAAACATAAATATGGAAAAAAAAACAGCTTAGGTTTTTCATGTTGGAATAATTTGTCCCTCTTTCCAGTGCTGGTCCCACCTCTTCAACAGGCTTTAAAGCATGCTTGTAAGAAGGGGAGTTGGGTCAGCTTTGCTTGATAATTGCATTATCAGAAATCCTCATGCTCTGATTAAGGAATCACTAGAGACAGTAGGAAATACCTATCAGAAATACTGCTTTAACGCTACAGAGGAATATTCATCATGAAAGACTTGATGTATATGTAGTATACCAATTAAAGCATACATAGAATGTTGAACCTACCCAATACAGAATATATATTTCCCATGGTATATTTGTACGTGTAAATTGTATTTGCTGTTTGTGTCTAGCAATTACACTAAATTGTGTTTTCTTAGAAAGCTGGATAACTTGAACAAGAGGGAAACCCACAGGTTGATTTTGCTTCCAATATGCTGTTATTTAACTAAAAAACCAATACTATTTTCTCATGCATACAAGGATTTTGACCGTTCTTGTAACTGCTTTCATGTACTGTAGATTCAGTCCTTTTATTCTGGTACTATCTGGAATGAGGCAGGTACTTTTTTCAAAAGAAAAAATAATCAGTGTTTCTATTATTCTGCTAACATAAAGGTTGAAACTGTAATCCTTGTGCATGCTGCTTCTGTCCCTTTCCTCTGGGAAAAAATGACTTATCCCTAGACCGTTCTTGTTCTTTAGGCATCAGAAAGCATATTTACTTCTTGTTTTTAAATCAGTATTGCCACTGTTGGTATTTAAAAAGAAAGGTCCAGACCCTTAATTCATGTAGTAAATCATTTTAGACCTGTTAAAGTCTGCAGGCATACTTCTCTTGATGTAGCAGTGTATGTGAATGGTATGGTTGGTTGACTCATTCTGCAGAAGTGGAATTCAGTATGTGAGCACTTCCTGGGGAAGGACGGGAAGGACTCATGGATGTCTGAGTCTCATTTGGAGAATATGGCCCACCATGCTAATAAGTTTTCTGATACAAAATGCAGGTCAGATTCTGCTCTCAATGTGCTCGATAATTTCCCCCTCTTTCACTAGATCAAATTTCACTTTGCAATATCAGTAGTTAACAAAACAATGAGAAACATACTCACTGAATTTTCCATAATGTAATCAGATTCCTGCTCCTCTTGCACCTGAAAGTATGCTAACCATGCCCTTGCAGCTGTAATTGAGTATTCTCTCCCAAGTTAATAGATGCCCGCAAGTAACAAGAAAACATTTTGCATGCAGATATATATTTGCTTTATTGGGAGATAATTATTCCCTGCAATGGTTCCCTAAAACAAAGGCTGACACGAGTGATCAAGGGAAGATTCAACACACTTACCTGATCTGAGCACTCTAAAATGTGGGATATTTGAGCTCCAACCAAAACTATCCTTGTTCATATTTATTGACTTTTTTCACTTTTATGGTAGTTTGTCTGAAAAATTTCACAAGTGTGATATGCATTCTAAGAATTAATGAAAATAGGTGAAACAAATACAGTCATAAAGTAACTTACAAAGTTCCTAATGCCTGAAAGGGGAAGACATCCAAAACTCAGTTAAGTTTAACATGTTAATTTAGAGAGAGGTATTGCTGAAGTCTCCAAGACAGTCCTGTCATTATTTATGGGTGCTGTTGTGTCCAGAGACCTACATGATCTGGGCATTGAGTAAAGTACAAGCAGAGGTGATCTCCATGATGCAGAATCTGTAAACCATGTCAATCAAAAACAGCATCTCCTGCATTATTATTCTCTTGTCTCTTCTCAAGAGTCCAACAAAGCTACTGCATAGGATTCTTCTGTCATACCAACCTGTGTTTTGTGTAAATATAATAGAAAAATTACAAAATTTATCTATCATGTTCAGAATGCTTATTTTATCCAGTCTGGAATAGTTTGTACCTACTTCTGGTATCAACAGACTTTTACTTACTTCTGCTAATAGGCTGATTTTCAAATAACTGGTTTTATCAAGCAGGTACGAGATTATGATGACAGATTTGAGGACAGTGCAGACCAAGTGACATCAGAGAGCAGCCTGCTTCTCAGGGTGTTTTCTGTGGAAGCCAAGCTTTAAAAATGGTGCAGTTTTTTTACAATTTTACAAAGGAAGCTAGAGCTCCTTTAATGATGTCTGCAGAATAGCTGTCCTCTGACAGGTGATTTAGGAGTATTTGTTACTCATATAGGATGCTTTAACAGATGCAAAGCAAGAAAGCTTGCTAGAACAGAATTTTCATTCTCAGATATGGGTTCTGGTTTCATAGAAAAATTAAATAGCAATTTGGCATGGGCCAAGGAACATACTGAGCATTAGTGCTGTGTTTTAATGCCATTCTCATTCACCATGCTGGAACCTGTATGCAGCTTTTATTGCTTTGTTTTAAATGCATGGGTTTATTCTTGTTAAGAGCCTCACTCAGTTGTTTGTACTGACCTTTCATGTTGTATCTGACACCCAGCAACTTCTTAATCATGTCTTTATTTTTCACAGATTTGCATTCAAAGCATGACATCGTTTTCACTAAATAAGCTGCATGTCTTATGTTTGCCATTGCTCTAAAACTAATTCTGTCTTTATTTTTCTTTTCTTCTCCCTTTTCCCTCCCATTTTATTTTTGTCACACACTATTTGTTCCCTGTCTGGTTTTTAACATTACATAATCTTAAGGAGTGCGATAAGAATAAGATCACTGAAGCCACTTTTTTGGAACAGCCTGACTTTTCACAGCAAATACATCACAGTAAAAAGCTTTTCAGTATTCCAGAAGTAGCTGAAGAGGATGGTGAATACTCTGAACTGCTATACAAGCAGGGTTTAGGTATGCCCTATAAAAAGAATCCCACAATAGCTAGAGACTCTAGACCACCTAGGCCCTACAATCAAGACCAGCAGCACAACTTCTGGTACTCAGCCAAGCACAGAATTTCAGGCATGGAGGATTTTGCTGCAGACGACAAAGGATGTAAATATAGCCGATCCTTATCCAGAAGCCCAGACAGTGGACTAGACTGTGGAAGTGAAGAAGAAGAATCTCGTTTTAATTTCAGATATACTTGCGATTCAGTTTCTGCCAATGTTGCATCTAGCTGTTGTGCAGAGGCTGCTAACTGTTCCTGCAGGAAAAGCATGAGGCCATTGCTTGCTCGCAGGAAAACTTTAACCAGACAAACCAGCATCGAAGAAGATTTTGGTGACCTGGGTCCTTCCTTTGTAGAGTCCAGGAGTGAACAGGTCAAGCCCAGTTACGAGAAAAAGTATGAGACTCAGAAATGTAATAGAACAGATAATTTGTCTAATGAAGATGTTCAGGGAGGCTGGAAGACCGACTTAAAAATGGCTGACTCTAGGGCAGCTGGTCTACTTGCAAAGCCATCCCACAGAGATGCAGAAGACTCTCTGGTGTGTGAAATAAATCTTCCTTCTAACATCTGCTTGCCAAAATCAGTCTGTTTTCTTTCTTTTGTTCTTTTTTTTGGTTGTTGTTGTTAGTTTTGGTTTTGTTGTTTTTTTTCCTGAATTAATTTTTAGAGTCCATCCTTTGGACCTATCTGCTACATTTTTTCCCTTTTTTTTTTCCTCCCCATTCATCTTTGTTTATTATTCTGCGTTTTCCTTTACAGTCCTCTTGTGTCATGCTGAAATCAGTTTACTTTGTTTTACAATGATTTTCCCACAGAACAGATTACAATAATGGCTGCTTTTATTAAAGGACAACTGAATCTAAATTTTAATTAAGGGTTAGCTGAACTATAATATTTCCAAAAGATTGTTCTTCTTTATTTTGCCCATCTAAATGTTACTTTAAAAAAAAGCTGCATTTTAACTGGAAAAATATTTCATTCTTGTTTTGTTGTTTTGTTGTTTTGGTTTTTTTAATGTCGAGGAATTCATTTCATCATGTTGTTTTTATTCACCTCATTCCAGAATTTTCAGGATATGCTCTTTATCATGAAACATCTCTGGACAAGAATCAAGATTCTTCCCCAGTGTGACAGTGACCCAGATTTATGGAGTCACAGGTTTCATCATACTTCCGTTTTCTACCTTACCTCTACACTATCACTACTTTGCCTTCCTTTTTAGACCATCTTTTCTTGCCTTTGAAGTTGCAGACTGCATCTCTGAATGAGAATGCAGGCAAACAGCTTCTTCCAAAGGGAGAGGCCAGGGCCGTTCCATATCTTTCAAGGATGCCTGTGTGTGATCTTGCCTATTTGCATTTCTGTCCATTAATCTATAGCAGAGTCTCCATGCTTTGATAGATGCATCTGTAGGCTTCCCTGCTCCCTAAAGATGAAAGCAAGTTCTTTACCCTCTCAGTCTGCAACAGTCCAGAGTGGAAACCTCAAATCTCATGTGTTTCATGTAAGAGTAGAAATCAGCTGCCTTCTCTTCTAGCCTAGCAGTTTATGCTGAAATGATCCTTAAAAATTTCTCCTGTTAAAATTGGTAGCCAGGCTGTATTAATCTCAATGACCGCATGATAAACTCTGGAGAGCATTAAAATAGTACCATTTAGTTATTAAAATAGCAACATTTTCTGCAAGGGTAATGAACAGAAAGAGGCAGCTGTGATGTGAGATGAAGTGTGTCTACATTCCCTTCTACGTGTTTCAATGACCTTTAAAAGGCTGTTACAACCAAAGGCCGTTCTAGAAAAGCAATGTGCTCAAAGACAGAAGTATGTACACTTGTTCACATGCTGCAAACTGAACAAAGCTATGTAGCTCAATACAAAAAAGGCTTGCCTTTTCAGTGCAGTCCAATCTCCACAGCTCTCATGGCTGGTTGTACTACTCTTCAGAAGATTATAACGTCATCTTAGCAGCAACAACAAAGGCAAAAGAATATTTCAAAAATTATTCTTTTCTTTTCTTTTTGTTCTGAGGTGTGACTGCTGGTTACAAAACTCTGTCATAAATCAGGGAACCATTTTTTCTTTTGCAGGTTTTCCAGGCAACAGTATTTACTTTTCAGCTAACCTTTCAGTTAAAAACTAAGTTTAGTTGCCTTTAGAGCTTATGCTTCTGAATGTGATTGACCTGATTAATGTCCAACCATATAACCATAATGTTACCATGCATGTAACTTACAAACTTGTTTTTTCTGTTGTTGTTTTTTAGCTTTTAGGTAATCCATCATCTGCAGGACGGCCTGAAAGGGTGGAGCATGCAGGGCGAAGGTCCTCTCATGGCAGTGCAGTGCCACAAAGGTCTCGACCAATGTTGGTCCCTTCCATTGGTTAGTTGGACAGATTGGTGCATTTCTGTTCTTTGCAGCCTCAGAGTTGGCAAGGCGGTCCTTAAAAAAGAAACAACAGATGCTTGTCTTAAATCATGGTTACTCTTAGTTTAAATGGCTTGAAATGGAACTAAAAACATCTCCATCTAAATATGAGTGTACTGGGGTCTCACAGGGGGCTGAGTCAGTAGTCATTGACATCACTGGGAGTCTTTTCATTGAATTTAGTGGGTATTGGAGCTTTTCTAAGCTTGCTTAAGCTTAGGTACTCTTAGATCTCACCTAAGAAGAAATTTGCAGGCAGGCTTCTATATGATCAGTAAAATAAATGTACCCATTCAGCCATCCATTCAGCCATCCATCTTTCCATTCATCAACCATCATTTTGCATTCACTTTCCATTTTCTTGACTACTTTTTGGAATTTAGCAGGAAAAAATGGAAGCTGTAAATGTAACAAGTTAGTAGAACTTGCGTATATTTACTAGATTTTATATTTCTTACAGAATCATCCCTATTCTGGTTTACTTCTGACTTACACTATATGGTGGTGCGTACCAGAAAATCCAAAAAGTAGTTCAGAAAAGATAATGGAATCAAGACACTATGGACAAATACGTATCTGTTAAAACTTGTGCTCTATACAGACAAATAAGAAACATTCACACTGAAAATCAGCAAACACATGCAAAACAAATGCAGAAAGAGTTCTATGAGCCTTTAGCAGAACTTTACTCCATGAAGATGTAAAGTCAGTCCCATTCCTGTCCCTAACCTGGACTTTGATTTGTGAATACTGTAGGTAGGCATCATCGGGAGGAGAAGGAAGCAGTGTCAGGTAATTCTCACCTGACATTTATGTGAATAAGAGATGTCACAAATGGGGATTATCAGAAGGAAAGAGACTGATCATTAAAGAATGCTTTTATTTTTAAATATTAAATATTTTTCCCTTTTCATAGAATCACACTAAAAATGCCTGTGCTGTAAATTAAAAGCAAAATCCCCCTAGTGGGCACAATTATTTTGATATCTAGTAGACAATAATTATTATTATTGAAACCATAAATCAGAAAACACAGCTGTAACGCATGAAGCTTTCTTAGTGTCTTCAGTATAGCATGACTGGTCAGAAGCTGATTCTTATCCCACACCCTAGTGTAAACCAGGATAATCTTCACAGATGTCAGTGGAATTACCCTGGTATGAAAATGGTATGGGGGAGAATCAGCTCCAGGGAGGCTGTTGTGCTTCTATTGACAGGTTATTGTTAGCTGAACAAAATAGCTTTCGGATGACGGTTTGAAGACTGTTAGATTTTCATGTCCTCTTTCATTTACTCTGAAAGCAGCCTTTTTTTCTCAGGAGTAAAGATTTCTGGTTTATGTTCAGACTACTTAAAGTAAGTTTTGTATCTAAGTTCTTTCTTTTATATTATCTGCTAAAACATTTTTTTATGAATAGCGAGAGAGGAGATAGATTTGTTTGAATTAATCCTTTGGGTTTCCTTTTAATTTTCATTTTAATTAAAAAAAATAAGGGAAGTGATTAAATTTATCAGAGCTCACTTTCTGTCAACAAAGTTAGGACATGGAAACTGCTAAGTAGTGACTTTGCTGTTTGGTAGTTCAATAGCAACAGCTTAGGAATCAGATAAAGAAATTAATTTCTGATAGTCAATTTGTGCTCAAACAGATGATTAAATAAAAAGTAAAATCAGATTTTATTTCTTTCAGTGTAACTTAAAGAATGAATTAGTGTGTTTTGTATTATGAACCATCCACAAATGCTTTTTGGGGAAGTTCCATTAGGAATAAATTACAATATTGTCTAATGCTGGTAACAAGCAAACTACTGAGCATTATGTACAGTATCTAACAAAAAAAATTATTTGCTCTGAAGCTATTAAAAGGCCTTATGTGGTTTAGCGTTCAAGAGTCCTAATTTCTGACTAGAAGACTAGTGATTAAAATTGCTGAAAGATATGTATGCAGTATTTCTTGCTTTCAGCATCGTACTGTAATAAATGACTTTGAGGATAAGCGAAGCAAATATAAACACTTGATAAAACTCTGCACAAAAGTTGCTTCCTGTAAGCCTGCTGAAAAAAATCTAGGAGATATGAAATGTATCAAGAGTTCAGATAAATAAAATGTGGTAAAAGTAGGGCATCCAAAAGCATTATAGTAGAGCATTGTCTACACTTGAACCCACTGTTTAGAGCTCCCACTGACAGAGGAAGTTTGCCATGAATAAGGGCTGCGTGTGTGGTTTTTGAAGAAGGAAGTTATTTTAGCTGTGTCATTATAATATGTAGTTCCACAAAGTAAAAAGCAGAGTAAAATAAAAGAAGAAAGTAAATATGACTGAGCCAAAGTTTAGAATGCTTAAATACATGAAGCTGTTGTTGGCCTCAGCATATAGCTCAAAAATGTGGATGCCAAATTTCTTGGTAGCAGCTTACTCCTTTACATGTTTGCCTGGAGTTTTTACTGAGCTACTCGGCTAAAGGGTCACTTTAGTGATGGAAAGTTCTTAAGGCAGCTCTGGGAGGTTAAACTAGTGGGAAGGACCTTCAAAATTGTAATGTTCTTAGGATTCCAATGATAAAACCTTTCTCCAAAATGTTTCAAAATTTAAATTCTTTGAGGTATTTTCTCCATTAAGCTATAAATACTTTAGATTAGCATCATCTTACAGGTAGGATTTAAGTAAATTAATTAATTTTTGTTTTTAGGTTGATACTTTAGAAGGTGAAACACAGTTTACAGTGCTCTTGACCTTGCAGATCTAGCAGGTAGGATTATTTAAACCTCGTAATAAAAGATGGTTCCTATCCAAAGATCTAGCTAACAATATTTACACTCTATGAATTTTAAAAAGCACAAAATGCAGATGCTTTAAAAAAAGGAGATACATATTTCTGTGATTCCCCTGCTGAAGAAGGATTTCTAGAGGCTGAGACATCTGGCAAAGCTTATGCAGTGTTTAGCCTTCCTACTATATGCAAGTCAGAAAAAAAGGTAGGCAAAGCCTGCCCGCAGGAGCCTCCGCAAAGGCAACTATACAATATGTTTTAATAGATCATTCCCTTTTTCTCCATAGAAATTACAATGGACAGTAACAGTGAAGGCGGTCGGTCTCGGTCAGGTAGTGAGGGAAATATTTCACCTGTAAAAGAAGAAGCTTATTATCGCAGCATTGGTGGACACAAGAAATGGCCTCAGCAGCGTACCATGGCCTCTGAATATAGATACGGTATGCCGAAAATTATTCATCCTTTATGACAGACACATTTTAGAGCTGCGTGTTAACAAGTGTGGTTTCTGTATGACAACATTGCATGCAATGCAGAATGCCAGGGGAGCTAGCTCTTAAGTTCTGTCTGCTCTCAGGTAAGTTTCTCCAGCTCAGCTGTAAGGGACAAACAGCCCTTAGTCCTCTGTCCTGAAACTGCTGTGCAGCCACCTTTCCATACTCGACTGAGTCCGAGCACACTGCATTGCATGAACCTCTGTGAAGCTATGCTGCTACTAATGCCAGTCGGTATTTACTGTATACACCTGAACAACCATTCATCAAAATGACCACATTGCCACTGGACTCATATAGACTGGACAGGGACAAACAGTAGCTGGTATATCACAACCCAATGTCCTGCAATAGGAAGCAGTTACCAAACATTATTCTCATTTATGGCTTTGGCTAAACAAAGATTTGGGGTCTTTTCAAAGACCACACAGGACTTTGGCTGTGTCACTTGATGAAGACAAAAATTATTCTTATTTTTAGGAATAATTATGTCATAATGACAAACTTGTATTACATAAGTAAGGCAGTTATACCCACTACTGATGGTATTTGTTGCTTCATCAACATAGAAATCATTACATGATCAACAACTCAGTTTTCATAGTTCATAACACAGTAAATTGAAGTGTCTTAACCCATGAAAGCAGCCCAGGCCATATATAGAGCTAAGAAACACATTAGGGTTTTGTTGATATTTGAAATGGAACTAAAGGGGCCCTGAAAGTTTAGGTAAATGGTAATTTAATGTTGAGTTTCAAAGCAAACACACCTGACTGACTTACAACCAGATCATCAGCTTGTGCATATTGGTGTATATCTACTGAATTCAATGCAACTGTGGTAGCAACTATGCACCAGTTGGGAATCTGGCTGGCTGCGTCCAAACACTAAGATTTTACATACACAATTATACGTGTGTGTGTGTATATATATATGATATACATATATACCTCTTGAAAGAAAAAGATGAGTGGCTAATAAGCTAAGCAAGAGGTAATTTGCTTTCTGGTTCACTGAAGCAAACATGACTCTTCTGAATCAGCTTGTTACAGGCCAGTGCTTTTAACAGGGGTACATTTGGCTATAACTAGTGTTTGCACCTAGCTCCCAATAACTGCAGTTGGAGTTGGATGCAAAAATTGGTATTTTTAATTGAAAAAAACAAAACAAAACAAAATACTCCTTAACCCACCTGTTTTACATTGCCTGGTGGGCCTGAGTATGAACCACAGAATGACTGCAACCTGACTGTGGCAGGAGAATAGAGAAGAATTCCATCCTTTGTGTCCCATTGCTTTCTGTCCCACATGTGCCCTTCTCCCACACTTCCTTTCTGTGCTTTGTGCCTGCCTAAAGCTTCTTGGCTGGAATTTTTCCCTGCCCTTTTGCTGTTCTGCGTTTTTTCCCTAATCACATCCTTTCTTGCGCTCTGGACCCAAGAGTTAGTAGCTGTTCCCTTAAAGCTGTGACCCTCTGAAAACTTTTTCTGGTAGTTTAAAAATATCAAATGTTCAATAAAATGCATCTGGTGTAGAGCCAAAAAGAGGAATTTTATCTAAAATATTCCATATTGAATGTTCAAAGTATTACCAAAAATGCGAGTCTTTCATTTCTAAGAGGTGATTACAGTAAAAATTGTATTAACATGAAAATTGGAAAAATTTTTATATAGTTGAACTACATTTTCATCATAATTCATAACATCACTTTCTCAATTTATTCATTGTGAAAGATCTTGTAAACTGGATGATAAATGTTGATTCAGCAAAGACCAAAAGTATGTGACTCCCACTGAAGTTAGCGGGACTTGCACAATAAGCCAAGTTTTTCAGAAATGGCTTGTGATTTTGAGGGCTTTATTTTTGGGGGGACTTCATATGTCTTGAAAGAGCCTATTTTTTGGGAAAGTGCTGCCACATGCTCTTTCAAAACAAAATTTAAACCCTTTGAAACCTGTTGATCGAAACACTCATTATTAGCTATTTTGGCCTAATTTTCTAATTCAGTTTTACTTAAGTCCATCCTTAAATATGTTCTTGCATCATGGACTAAATGCATTCTCCAGGTCATTTGAAAAGTCTGAAAGCTATATGAGACAAAACGTTTTTTATCATTTTTATGTCCTAATTGATTTGGTTCCCTGCAGTGGACAGAGTTCGGTGCAGTATCAAGTGTTGTGGTACTTGTGGATGATCTTTCCTAATGAGCTTATGATTAAATGCAGTCATAGCTAACCATTTCTCCTGGATTTTAACACATCTTGTTAGTGTTTGGGTTGGTTTGGGGCACTGCTGGCTGTGTTAACTATTGACTGTGTTTAAACAAAATCACAGGCAGTGTAGTTCCAACCCTGGCATAACTAACACTACTGAAATACATTTCTTCTTGCCTGTCTGGAGAGAAGAGGTTATAGCCATGTTTTAAACCTGGTACCTAAAACATGGTGTGTCAACACAGCTGGGATGTGCTTTCTTGTGTCCATGAAGAGCAGAAGCAGCTGTGCTGGAAAACAGGTGGATCCAAAGCATGGTTATTTTTGCAGTAATGATAAAGCCTATCAGGCCCATTCTTATGTCACTCTTAACATGCTTGATTAATTTATGGCAAACTCTAGTAAGCCTAACAAAAATTGCTTTCTTACCTGAGCTGTATTCACATGTGTAAATGTCAGTGTGGTGTAGGAAATCAACACCACACTCAGTGCATGCAGATTGTATATACTTTTCAAAAAAGTAACAACTTGCTAATTAAAAAAACCACACCAAGCTTAATAGGACATGCATTAAGTTATTGTTTGGGTTTTTTTTCACTGAAATGCCAAATATATTTCAAATATTAACTGGAATAGTTGAAAGATGAGGCCAACTTGTATTACTGAATTGTTCTTTTCTGAATTTACTTTCCTAGATGGCTATGGTGGTCATGACCATCTTTCTCCAGATATTTATGAAGAATCAGAAACAGATCCTGGCACAGAAGATATTTCTACTCGAATATTTGTTGCACTCTTTGACTACGATCCGCTGACAATGTCCCCAAATCCTGATGCTGCAGAAGAAGAGCTGCCATTTAAAGAAGGACAGATCATTAAGGTGGGATCTAAAAAACAAATGAAATGAAGAACCCAGTTTTACAGACAGGGTCTCCTTTGTTCCCCATGGAGAAAGCAACTTGTGTGACTAGGTTTTTTTCTCCCAGAGGTTCAAGCTGTAAATCTCACTGGGTCTGGAACTTAATATCTAGTGCTAATGGCTTAAAAATAATTAGGTAACGGGCACAAATCTCAAAGTTGCTGTAGATAGTTAGGGCCAGACTCAATTAGAGATTTAGGTGCCAAGATCAAAACTGTGACTCTGAAGCCCCCTATGTCCATTGCCACAAACCCTGCAGGAAAAACTGTTTCAGAGAGGATGTCTTTCCTGCAGAGGTACCACAAAAGTGCTTAGTGTTGTACCTTCGTAGGTACCAGAGCTGCTGTATTTTTTTTAATGCTGAGCACTCCTAGCTAGTACATACTTAACATTAATTAATGTCTAGAAGTTAAGTATTTCTCTTCCAGAGTCATCTTCTTCTGAAACTGGGAAAACCACTCCCTTTTCTGACTGTTTGGTGTAAAATACACAAGCCACCTTTAAACAGGGCGCAGAAGGCAAATTGGCCCTGTTTTAGGTGACAGGGGCAGTGTGAGACTGTCAGTGTTTGTAGCCAGCCCTCTATCCCAGCTTGCCTCATCTTATGATTGTGCAGCTGCAAGGCAGTTGTTGTTCAGTTTGCTGATCTGATTTGATTTTAAAAAGCTAGCAGATTTTTCTGTTGAATCAGCAAATCTAAGCATCTCCTCGTGCAGCCTTTTATCTAATCGACCTGGTGCAAAATGAGCAGAAATGAGAGAAGCAGAAGGAACAGCTGCTGGTAGTCCAAGGGTAATTGAGATTAGAGTGTGATCTGAAACAGAACTTGAAAAAATGTAGACTTATTTGTTACACTACCCATTTTGAAGATGAAATTGTAACTTAAGCTATTAAAATATTGACTGCCTTCCACTTTGTTGGACTGGATCCTAACACAAATTCCCTATCCTAAATCACAATGGTTTTAATGCTAAATACTTGGTTAGATATTTTGCTTACCTCCTCACATTATAAAAGATTATGCCAAAAATATGGAACGTGTTTAAGAGCTTATTTTGCTTTGCAAGAATGTTCATTTCACTCAGGTGTTTTAATTATTTCTTCACAAATATGTATGTTTGGTGCTGAGAAGTCTAGAGAGATCCCACATCAGATATTTACTCTCAGCGTTGTTTGTTTTATATTTGGGTCCATGGTGATTACTATGTTATCTGCTGCTTTGAATTTCTTATCAAATTGTTGTGAAGATGAATTAGTTTGCATTTTCAAAACACTTTTCGTACATTACCTGAGCAGTGGGCTGGGAGAGGGTCAGTTCCACCATGAGCTGTATGAAGTCTGTCCCGTACATGTGTTATGGTCACGTATGCTGCACTGCATGAAGTAGTAGTGGTGGCAGGTAAGTCATGGCTGTATAGTGATTAAAACTGAAAAACATTCCTTTTGCTCTAGAAAGTTGAGGCAATTCAACGGTCGTTTTTAATGAACTCAGATTTGAACTGAAGGGATTGGTTTGGGGTTTTTTGTTTGTTTTTAAAGAAGAGAACAAAAACAATTGAGCCTAAACAAGGAACAATCTAACTCAGTCGTCAGTTTGGCCTTGAGAACATCATTTTCGTTTAGTACAGTCCTTGATCTAGGCCTTTGTATCACTACTAGCCTTTATGAATTGACTGCATTTTTAGAACTTAAGAGAAATTTTGGATTTACCTGTGCTCATTGATGAAAATTCATGCTATTTTTATACCTTAATTCATGTTTTCTGGAAAGACAATAGCAGAGCATAAGTACATATATCAAGTATATTAAGTATGAGATAGGCATTTTTGATCATATAGAAGTTGTTCCAGTCAAAATAACAACACTTTGGCAGAGTTTTGCAAATGCTTCATTTTGAATATAGTTCATATGGCACCACTTTTGGTGCCATGTGAATTATTCTATAAACATTAGCGTAAATCATAAAGTATAATTTTGGCTCAGCACAGGGAGAAACTGATGACTTTTAATGGTGTGTCTCACTTTTTGTGCATTTTACTGCTAACAGAAAAGTCCAAATTCTGCTTATGTATCTGAAGTCATAATTCAAATTAACATAACAATTCCAGTTCTGTAACATAAGTCAGAGTAGCCAGAACCTAATATAATTCCACATTCAAACTGTAGTCATCTGTGTATGCTTTATTAACCATTTAGCCTGCATTAAAATTCCTAAACACGAACACCTTTATTGACCAACATTATCACTCTTTGAATAACAGGTTTATGGGGACAAAGATGCTGATGGATTCTATCGTGGAGAAACCTGTACAAGAATTGGCCTTATCCCATGTAACATGGTCTCTGAGATCCAAGCAGATGATGAAGAGATGATGGATCAGCTTCTGAAACAAGGCTTTCTTCCTTTGAACACACCAGTTGAGAAAATTGGTAAGGGAAAACAGATACACTTCACCTCCTAAACTCTGGGTGCTGTTAACTTGGCTGGATCCGCTTTGCCTTTTGTTTTTACTATACGCAGATGCATCTAAATTTTACAGCAGTTTACTATACCATGGGATACATTCTGTGTCAGTATCTGGATGACTTTATTCAACTAATATTTAATCTTGGTCACATCTTTTGCTGCAAATAAGGACTTGTATCTTCACCACTCCACTCATTATTTTCTTTTCTCTACTTAAAAAAAAAAGAATGGCTTTTGTCACCTGGAAGATTTCTAGACACAGAACATGATCCCTGTGCTTTGGAGTGTGCTGTGCTGGGGTGCTTTGTGATATGCTCACTGCTGCAAAGCATAAAAAGAATCACTTATTTGTTGTTATTTTTACTCTTCTACATTTTCCTACTTTACCAATAATTTAAAGGGATGGTGGCAAAGGGTTATGTGTAATCTCATTTGGGATAGCACTACATATGAGATTTTATGGATATTGCAGTAACAAACCCTTTAAAAAGCAGAGTTTGGCCAAACAATTGTGTGTTATGAACCACTTGTGTTACATCATTGGTTCAGTGTTGTACACAGATACACAATGCAAGTATCTTAACTTTGATTGCTTTCTAAAAATAAATTTCATACAACTATCTCAATATGTTTGAAAATTTTCAACATGATTCAGAGAGTATAAAGGGCTGGAATTGGTTCAGTCCTGTTTAAAAGTGAACTGTAAAAGTGGTTGCTAAAAAAACAGAGATCTTCCACAATTGTTTTCTTAGATTTAAATAAAACCTTATCATTTTCAAAATTGTATTAGTAAATGTGAGACAAATTATTTTACTTTTTTTTTTTTTAAGATACTGAGATATTTTAAAATTCTCCATTGTCCATGGAAGAGAAGGATGATTTAAATTCTTAAATGCTTAATTGAGGTCCTAATTCAAATCTGTGTATTTATTTACTTATGGCACATAATACACCAAACACTCCTACCCACATCCACCTGTAAACCCCACTGCCCATCTGCTCCTCTAGGTATAGCACGCACACCTACATGTACATTTACAGGACAACAACTTGGGATAGGCACACAGTGGGACCTACAGATGTGCCTGAACAGGTTGGCTGCCTACAGCATTAATCTCCACTAGTCGTTTTTGCATGGGTCTGCATCATTTGAAGTCTATTAGACACAGATACCCAACCTGCTTTAGGTACATCTGTAAACACAACTGGGGGCCTGATGGGATTCAGAAGTATCTAAATATATCTCTGCTTCTAGCATTGAGGTCACACGTGAGTACAGAAACTGTCCTCCTGCACCGCTGTGGTTGAAGCTTGCTGCTTTAAGTCCTGCTCAGTGCTCTCAGTTCCTATCAAAGTCAGCAAGTTGTTGATACAGAACACTTGTGAAAATAAAACCACTAGTCTACATAGCTCCCCATAATTTGAGTATTTTGGCTGTCTAACAGTCATATTTTGCAAATATAATTGGATTTTTTTGTTGTGCTCAACTGGCAGTGTCTCCTGAAATAGCAGACAAATCAGAACGTTTTTATCTTGGAAAGAGGGAGAGGCAATTTGTGACGGAAATGTTGCCTTGCCTTACATTTTTATTCTGGGATGTTTCTGAGCGAGCTGTTAGCAACCTACCCCCAGCAGTTCACCTTTAAATATTTTAGCATTTTAAAAGCATCATGTATTTTCTTTTAATATGGATTTAAATTGTTAGCCATTTTAAAAAACAAACAAACAAACAAACAAAAAACCAACACATGCTTTTACTAATGGATTTGGAAAGAATAGTTAGTTTGGCTTAATTTAAAACTAAATATAAAACCTGAATAGCAGAGATCCACAGGCTCAGACCCTCACTGTCACAGAGGCTGCCCACGTGGATTTTTAGCAGAAGCAGGCTCTAATTGCCAGTCTGTCTCATATTGTTACTCATATTTTTAATGTCATATCAGACACTTTATATGATGTGTTCACGTGACTATCTTTTTCTTAATCCTTTGCCCACATTAAATCCTTAAAAACAGAACTTTGAACAGCTTCATATCTTTTCTTCTTTTATTTGTATGCATTCCTTTCCTGAAGTCAACTGTGACCGTTTCAAAGAGAGCACACGCTCTGTACACCGCAGATCCAGAAAGTCTAAAAGAGGTCTGTGCTAAGAACCAATAATTTGATTCAAGCTGTAAATTAGCTGAAATGATTTGAGCTGTCTAGATTTATTTTTTTAATGCCTTTGGACTTTTGGAAACCAGAAGTTGGAAAATATTGTCACATAGCAATTATGTATAGGGTCCTTTGTGGATTCTTTTCTTGGTTGTAGAGGGGCCCTAGACCCTGAACTGTGGGCAACGTCTTGCCCCAGAGAAGTACTTCAAAGTGGAAAGTGCGACTCTGAGACAATCATTTAGGTATGGGTTGATCCAGGCTTTGGGGGATTGGGTCCCACATCTGTTACAGTCTGTGCCTTCATTTTGGATCTCTCCTTGTGTTCCTTTGCATTGGTAGCTGGGACAGTAACTCCAAACCACCCACTGCAAAAGTAAGTGTTCTCCTCTGACTGAATGCGTCAGTGTCAGTGGTGGGTGATGTGACAGCTGTGAGTGCATGCTGCACTCAGTATTTGCTCCTACGTTAGCTGAACCTTTAATGTCCACCCTCCTGCCAGAACAATCGTAGGGTACCTCCTAGCCCCAGGTTTCCTTTGTCACACTGCATAACCCTCACCAGACCTGCCCTCAATGCCTGTCTGTAAGTAGCACTAACAAGCATGTTTCTCTTGCTACAGCAATCATCTGCAAGAATCATGCTAATAGCATTCAAATTTTAAATGAAGCCCATTTTGGACTTCTTTGTAAACGTTTAATATCAATCAATAAACATTTCATGTCATTCCTGGAAACTACAAATCTTACTCCTTTCCTTCTGTTCCCCACAAAGGAAACTTGCAAAATTAAACAGTACTTGAGAATGTGTTTTTTGTAGTCAGCGTCTTGACAATATTGCAAACCACTTGTGTAACCAGTAGCCTCTTCTGTCTTGGGACAGCTGAGAGTGTCCATTTCTCCTTCCAGTCTCCCAGCAGAAAGTTGAATAATCCCAGGCACAAAATTCCTTGTGATTAGGAGAGGGGAAGGGAATAGGCAGTAAATGTGGAAGTTTGAATAAAATGGAACAAATGTGAATATTTTGACTTTGTATAACTTGGTAACCTCCGATTCTTACAACCAAGAATGACTGAAAATTTCAGAATATTAGTTTTGCAGATAAATACTGTTCAGAGGATTCAGTGGCTTAGAACAAAGAGGGCAAGCCAACTGTTAAAAAACTATTTATGAAACACACATGCTGTTTTGAAACCTTTATCTGTGTTAATAGGTTTGGTAATCTGTGACCTTTTATCACTGTGCTAGAGAAATACCAACATTGTTACTGCGCTGTGGGGAGAAGTTGCACCATGCTTTTCTTTTCAAAATAACTTTGATAGCTTTCCTTCCCTTGCTCTCCTTGTGATTGGAACAGAAAGAAACAGACGGAGTGGTAGACAACATTCAGTGTCGACAAGAAGGATGGTGGCGCTGTACGATTACGATCCAAGAGAAAGTTCTCCTAACGTTGATGTAGAGGTATTGACATAATTGTTTACTGTGTTTACCCCTTATGGAGCCATGCCATAGTTGATATGGGTAAGCACTACTAGACATTTACAGTGGATGGGCAAAAAAAAACCACCAAACCAAACACATTCAGAATCACAAACATTGGTCAAGTGTTTTCAGGCAGATGTACATGACAAGCTTATGACTTCTGTACAAGTAGATTTATGGTTCTTGCCCCAACAAAATCAAGGAATGTCCTTTGTAGGCTTTATTTAATATGGCTCAATCCATTATATAGTCAGCTATGGATATAGGTTGTGCAATACATGTGAAGCCATAGGTATATAACAAAAGTCTATAATGAAAAAAGCATGGAGTTATAAATAGTAGGGAATGATTATTTCCAATTATTGTTTTCCAGTTTCCTTTGTATGATTCCTTGTAAGAACGTGATTATTTTTGAGAAGCGTCCTAGCTCATGCAGACCAGCTGATCATGATGCATGCATTCAAATCTCTGTAACCTACAATTCCTCCAGAAATCAACCCTCCTTTGCAAGCCAAACCAGAACAATACAGCACAGTAGAACACGATTTGTAATATATTGTATTTTTTCTCTTAATTGATGCATCTGAACTTTTGTGAATGCATGTCTTGTCTGTAATCTTTTTTTTTTTTTTTTATAACAATGTACGGCTATCTTAAAGAACAACTGAGCATTAGGTAGATCTCCATTTAAAGAACAGCTGACCGTTAGCTAGATCTTCATTATGCGTTTGTCTTCCATTTACCTACATGCAGTCTCCCATCTCTCCACATGTGTTATCAGCAACAATAGAATCACTTTTTACATTGTCTTTGATGTTATATAGGAAGTCCCTCGACCAAGATTTGATGCAGTTTTCATTTATACATGCATTGTGGTAAGAATGTCAGGGTATACTCAAAGCTCTAAAAAAAAAAAAAAAAGCATACCTAGGAGCTTCCTCAGTTATCCTTTAAAACATTTTTTTTTTTTTAATTGGTGAATTGTAGAACAATTTGGAATTTTTTAAAGAAAAAAGTAAATTTTAAAATATGTGGGACTTGATGCTTTAAAACACAGCCAGAGTTGTCTTCTCTTTCTCACGGAACCAAATTACAGTGTTTCAAAGTAGTTTGGGCAACAAATGAAATAAATTGTCCTGATATATTGCAAACATTTTATGTGTTCTCTCTCTTTCCCATGGCCACAGGAAATTAAAAATAAGTTAAAAAAGAAAAACCCTGATAAAATACATTTAAACCACAGGCAATTAAAAAGAGCCCAGTGCACTGTTTGCAGATCAGAGACTGGAGATGCCTTTATTGAAAGTCTTTAATGAACGGAACCCAGCGTAGCTCCACAACTTCAGTTCAGGAATGTTGTGTTTCAGGAAAAGCAATCTTGGCTGGTCTTGCACCCCTTAGTCCTAGCGCTCAGCTTGGTACAGAGCGTGGACCTGAACCACGTCCCATCCCTACATCTCGTTCCCTCCTCACAGAAGGATTGACTTTGAGGGACCTTTGAGGCCACGTAGTTCAAAGCTTCACAGGTTGCTGAAGGCTTTGGGCAGATGAGTTCTGAGTATCTCCAAGGTCTGGTTGCACTCAGCTCATTTGTCACAGGGACCCCTGGGGGTGTCTAGAAGCTAGTGGGAGAGCTACGGGATTTAGCAAGCTTAAAAAAAAATAAACAAAAGAAGGTTTTGCTCTCAAAGTTCAATTTGGTTTCATCAACCATGTGAAAGGAGAGGGAAAAATATTAATGGATTTACTATTAATAAAGAAAAAGGTCTACCTTTGCCCAAAACCCCATGCAGTGTCACGTATTCCTTTTCTTGCAGGCTGAGCTGACGTTCTGCACAGGGGACATTATTACTGTCTTTGGTGACATTGATGAAGATGGATTTTACTATGTGAGTTGGCTTCTGTTTGGTCACTTCAAACTGCTACAAACTGTTAGAGCAATCTTCACCAGTGTGACTGATGAAACGACAGCCTGGGGAGAATTTCAGGTCACAATTCCCACTCGCAGTGGTGTGGGAATAGCTGTGATCCTAATTTAACAACACAAACTGCCAAAGTGGGGTGAGCATCACCGCTCCCGTTTTGTACCTGGGAGACCGCCGTCACAACCATCCCCGTTAGAGCGCCAGGGCGTGACCCTGGCCTCGTGGCTCCCGCTGCTGCAGGGACTGCAGCAGAACCCAAGAAGCTCCCTCAGCTGGAGGCGATCTTGCGGCACTGAAGAAGGTTCACACTTGCCACTTCAGCACATGTTTTTAGGGATTGTTTTTCATGCAGCTCAGAGCTGCCTCTGGCATTTTTGAAGTAATATTTGCCTCATTTAGTTTGCTAGAAAATGTATATTTTGATCACACATGTATCTATGCAAACACGTGAAAAACTTCTACTGGGTAAGGCATTCCATGTGGGAGAAAAACCTAGATAGAGCCTGTCCCTACAATAAAGGGGTTCTCTGATTAAAATAAAACCGCAAGACAGTTCAGTAGTCTTTTAAGCAGTGGTCACCTGATCCTACTACTTTGCCATTCCTTCAAAAAGAGTTTAATCATGGGAGCCAATAGTCCAGCATCGCTTGCCCAGCTGAACTGTCTTCAAGTTGACAGCAGCTGCCAACCTGCCTCTTGGACTTGCATTTTCCATTTCCATGGTGTACTGGCCATGGAAAACAGGCCCAGCTCTCCAGTTCAGATACATTTCAGAAGTGACCCTTGTCACGACCCAAAGGAATCATTTGGTCACCTCAGAAGTGCCTTTGGGTTGTGCAGCCCAGCACCACAGGTGCCCGTGGCGTTGCAGTCCTAAGGACGTAAGTCCAGAAACTCTGTGAGAATTCAGTTCCTGCTTCTCCACTGCCCATAGGTAAGAACACAGGGACTCGTTTGCTCTCCCTTATGCACACGAGCTCCTGTGATCTTCAAAAGTGTGTGAGCTCTTAAGGTCCCAAGTGACCTTAGATGGGTATTTCCTCTTCCTCCCTGCCTTTGAAATAGCCAAAAGTATTTCCTTACCTTCTTGGGAACCTACATTTGCTTTAATTAAAACATTCACTGAAATTTTCATCATGTTGCAGGGTGAACTTAACGGACAAAAGGGGCTGGTTCCTTCCAACTTTCTTGAAGAAGTGCCTGATGATGTTGAAGTCTATCTATCTGATGCACCCTCACGATATGTTCACGATACACCGATGCGTACAAAAGCAAAAAGGGTAAGCAACCGAGTAAGAAAAACTTAAAATTTTTATTTTCCATTCCATTTTGTCTCATATATAATTTAGATATTAATTTAACATTTTAAATCCATGTGCCCATTTAAAATTAACTTTCAAATACTTAAGCTAAAACATAAGGAAAAATGACTTTACTTAGCCTTCCACTAGCTTGTTACACCTGTAAATGAAGAAACTAAATTTACCATTTGATTGCAGTCCTTACAGTACCTTTGATTATCATTTGAGTTTAAGCAGCTTTTCCCCAGTGCACGTAGTTACTTCCTAATGCTTCTACTCTTACTACATGCAATATCTAGATGAAAGCAAAAGTTCTCGTGGAGAAAAGACTGGTACAAGCATTCCTTTAAATACAAATTGTAAACGCAGCTGATGGACAGTGTTCATCTTTTAATCCTTATGACTCCCTATTCCAACTGGCGTTAGTTAATTGCCCAGAGACTTCTCTTTTATGAAAGACTAATCATGTTTAGCATATGTCATTTTTGGTTTTGTTTCATCACTGCAATACTTTTCTATATTATATATTTTATATATATTTTTATTTCTTTGCTCATCTGCTTGGAAACAGAAGAAGAGTGTTCATTTCACACCTTAATAAGGCAATGTAGCCTTCACGTAAGTGAGCAACTGAAGATACCAATAGAGATTTCAATTAAAGCTACCTGGCTCTCTAATGCAAGTCTTGAAACTTAATTGTGGGGAAGGGAAAAAAAAAAAGAAGGAAAAAAGAAATATGTCTCCAAAACCCTTGGCCACTGAAGAACAGGCTCTATGCTTTTACTGTATCTAGTCAAGTCAATTTAGGTTTTTTTTAGGAGACAAATCCTTTAAAAAGGAATCCTCAGAAATAAGTCAATTAGACCTCACTTTATGAAGGTCAACGTTTGGAACATATTTCTTCATGAGCTAAATGTTTATGTTTACATAGAAAGGAGAGTTTGATGTCTAACTACCCTACAAACAAAAGCTGCATATTGCATTGTTAGCCAACCTGGGATGTAAAAAAATTCCAAGCTCCTCTATCAAGAGAAAAGCACAACACCCCCAACCCTTAAAGAACGTACACATGAAATGTAAGCTGGTATGTACGGTAGTTTACAAGGGTATAGTTGGTTTTGAAACTCATTACACTCAAATACAGCTACTTCACTTGTCTGCCTTAAAATGTGTTTTCCGTATTCGATTATACCTGTTTGCCTAACACCAACGATTCAACAATTCTGAAAAAATTCCTTGATACGGTACCAGTTTACTCGGATTTTTCCTAGAAAGTTCACATTTGAAATATTAGCAACTGTTTGGTTTACCAATGCAATAAAAGTCTCAGTATGAAACGTGCAGCTCACTGAATGAATGCATTAGACCAAATATATGGTATCTTCAGGTGTACGTTGGGGTGCTTTACCAAGTTGGTTTTGTTTTGTTTTTTTTTCATTAGAATTAGACCTTGATTTAAAATCAAAGTAGGCTTGAAGCCCCTTTGCTTAACTCACTGTTGCACAAGAAGCCAGTAAATTGCTAATGTTTTAACTTGAACTACAAGGTAACAGGGGTCCCTAAGGCATGGATTCTACTATGAAAATAATCATCTTAATTGATAGTATCATATTTTGTCAGCCAGGCACTGTAGTTAGGATAGGCTGAGTATAAGTAGTTTTAGCATTTTCATTCAAGCGCTTTTGATGATTGAAAAAAAAAAATAAAATAGCTGTTTAAAATATTTAGGAATGCTGTCATTTACTATCGTACAAGTATTCACCTCCATTCAGCAACCTCATAGCTGCAGCATACGCATCAAGCAGTCAGGGTCTTTAAGCTTTCTTTGATTGCAATTAAGGTTCATTTTAGCTTTTTCTTTTTCCTTTTCCTTTTTTTTTTAAGCCAGTGTGCCATCTTCTCAAATATTTACGTAAAGTTTGCTAGCCAATTTTAAAGAAAAGGCATGTAATGGACATTAAAAAAAAATAAGTGATCACGTAGCGTTGTAAGTAATTTCTTCTGAAAACAGTTTGGCTTTTCTCAATTGCTAATCTGTAGTAATTAACACATTTGTTTTTCTTAAATGTATAGCTAAAAGTATCCCTCTTCATTTTTGTACTATCAGAGTACTGAAATGCAAACCCAAAACCAGTTTTGTGGCTTTTGTGGCCAGAACTATGGCAACACAAGTGTATCCCATTCTTCCTTTAAAAAAGCATAACCAAAACTGGGCTCTATTGGAGTGTTTTGCATTGTCTATACTTTTTCTCAATACTGACGTGTTTTCCGTAAGCCCTTACAGTATTTTAAGCCACAAAGAAAAAAGGAACCAGCCCTTTTGTTTAAGTGGGTAATGGGACAAGGGATGTTACCAACTTTCTTGATGATAACAGCTTTTAAGCTTTCAAACATTCAATAAATTATAACAATGTACCTAATAGGTTCCTCCTGAGAATACAGGTACATCACGGAGAGCACCATCCCCCACAGTTCATCTCCATTCTGGGTCACCTACGTCACCTATGGGTTCTGGTAGTCCCGGGAGAGGCAGGGATATGTCCTCGAAAAAGAAAAAGGGGCTGCTTTCCAAAGGCAAGAAACTGCTGAAAAAGCTTGGTGCAGTGAAATGATTGATGTACTCCTGGACAACTTGTAAAGCTTCCAGTTCGTGCTTTTTTTTTTTTAAAAAAAAAAACGTCAAAACTAGGGCTTTCATGACTATGCAGTACAACTTTACCTAACTTTTCCATTTTTAACTCTGACATCAATAGAATTATGTGAATTGCTTAATCAGAACAGCAAGAAAAAAAGAAGTTGATTTGTTGTTGCAAATACTTTTTTCTTAAGAAAAAATTTTTTTTGGTGAGATTAAGACCAGAAGAACATGGTTTTATTCGAAGTCAAGTCAACACCTGCAACTCCATTGGATAAATCTCAGCCTTTAGTCTCCTTTAACCATGAGTTGGGGGAAGAAAGCTCGATTTGTTGATTCCTGGTTCAGAGAGACCACCCCCTTGTATCTAATCTTTATCATAAACAAAAATGGTCTTGAAACTCCTAGTTTAATCAGCCTTGATGTTTTGCCTTATTAATGCACAATGATTTGTACTGTCTAATAAATATACAGCGTATACTTTGTATGTACTGTGTATTCAGCTGTCTTCATCTTCCCTAAAACATGGTAATTTAACATCAAGTACTATGTCACTGACTCCATTCAATGTCTGATGTAACTCCTGGGAGTTTGAAAGTGCTGTGCAAAATGCTTTCTTTTTGGTTTTTGCTTCCTTTTTATTTTTCCCCCCTCCCCAAACCAAAACCCTTTATTCATTTCTTTTGTCAACATTTTCACTAAACTGAAATCAGATACAGTGTAAGTTATTCAGAGACTCACCCAGTTTCAACCGTACAACATCCAGTTTTGGAGTTCCTGGTTCACTCTGCTAAATTACTGGGAGGGGGTGGGGAAAAAACCCACACACAACCAAAACTCCACAACAAAAACCCTACAACATACTCCCCAACTTATTTTTCCTGTGGAGGTACAGTCCTACGTTAAAAGGCATTTTCATACTGCTGATGTCAGATTCAAGATAAAGTGCATGTCTAAAGTAAAAAGTGAAAAACTGTGTTAGATACACAAGCCGTAGCCAGCAAAAAGGCTGCAACAGGTGATAATCAAATATTAATTGCAATATTGGCATCAAGAAAAACAATCTTACACGTTGATGGCAGTCATTGGCTGTTACTATTTTGTAATTCTTGTCCATTTGTAAATTGTTTTTACTGTTTATACATACTTTTCAGACTGCCTTTCTTTTTGTAATTTATGGAAGGTTTATAAATGAATGATCAAAGCTTCCCCATTGTGTCTTCAGATAATAATGTAAATTACTGTAAGATACTGTGTGCTAGATTATAACATTTAATTAAAGAAAATAACTGGCCTAAATTTGTGGTAAAGTACTGTGTGGGTGTGTGCATGTGTACAACTGTTGTGTATTATATTTTATATAAATAAATAATTTGATATTTTGTAGAGTGCAGTATGTTTCGTAAATGCACTGTATCAGCTGCTCGATCACAGTGTTAGCCTCCCCTCCCTTCCTAAAGGATTAGACACAAAAGGTAAGACAGGTGCCCAGGGAGGGACTGTCGCGTGCAGTAATGGTGCAAGCTCCACCTTCAACCAGGGCACCCACGTGGAGAAGGAACAGCACGCCGTGACCATTTCCTACCATCCTGTAGCTGGCAAAGGAAGCAGCTGCACCAGCTCCTCTTCTGTGGGCCTCAAACGACAGAAACCAGATCAGAATGAACAGCCGTGACAGGTATAAATACGTGATACGTAACTAGGAAGAAATACAAAATACTAAGTAGTGAATAGGGAAGGCTACCATTGTATGACATCAGAAAGACCAGACTATTTGCCAGAAAACCCTATGCCGCTCTTCATTACAAAGTTCACGTGGAAGAAGCTGGTACAGTTCTCTCAGCCAAGGACAGAAAAACAAACCTGAACTGAACGCAAGGTCGAGAGCTCCCTCATTTGTCAGAACTGTCGACAGCTGCTGACGTTTACTGCACCATAAAGGCTCATCTAAATTGCAAGACTCCAGGAGCTTTCTAGAGGTAAAAAAGGGTTAGAAAGTTCCTCTACCATGTGTCACATAGTATGGTCAAAGCCCAGTCTTGAAGTATGTAAGCAAATACACCTAAGAAACACGATCAAACGAGCACGGATTACAGCAACAACTTTATTTAAATCTCACAAAGAAAAGGAACAAGGTTCACAACAAGTTAGTTAAAAAAAAAAACAAACAAAAAACACAGCACTAATCCAAATTCTTCCGTATGTACTAGTTTGACTCTGCGCCTGGTAATGCAAAAATCTGAAATCAACTTCCATCAACACAACTGCTATTTGCTTTACAAATTAAGCTACTCCTGCTGA